TCGCAGGTGCATTTAAGGTCAGGGTCCATAATTTATGATGCACAAAATTTTTTANAAAGCCGTTAGAAATTACCATTTTTATGGCCAGTTTCTCGCAGGTGCATTTAAGGTCAGGGTCCATAATTTATGATGCACAAAATTTTTTAGCATGTGCAAAACCGAATCCATTTCATTTCGAACAAAGTTGCCAACATGTTATAGATGGCAGGCATTTGCTTACAGGTATGCATATGTGAGGAAAATATTCAATACATTCACAGTTGTGAGCTTGATGGTAGTTTGTCTTCCTTAAAACATTCATCCTAAAAACCTTTAATCTTCAATGTTGTAAAGATAAAAATTGGGGAAAAATGCATGAAAATATCAGACTTGTTTTTTGGGTTTTTTCTCAGTTTTTGGTAACAGCATGTATTTTTTTGTAACCAGAATAAAAGGAAGACTTTTTAACTTCATGTATTAGATAATTTGGGGTTACCAGAGATGACTACTGTTGTAGTCTTTTACTTTTACCCTAATTTAGTATATCTCCATAGCTGCTACTGAATATCGCTGATAAAAAGACTCTGGATTATTATTGATAGATTGAGAATAATAAAAATAATTTTTAAATTACAAAACTTCATGTAGCAGTAATAAAATCTGCAACTAGAAAATTGCTTATGAATGGACTGTGTAACCACCGAGTTGCATACTTTAAGTATTGCATGCACCCAAAATAGATGAGAAAATCCTAGTACAGCTGGCATTCCGAAGCACTGATTTAGCATTTTAATCAGAATTAGAGGGATGCTAACGCTCATAAGCCTAACAAGATTTACAGAATAAAAAGAAGTGTGATATGTGGCATGCTTAGGTTAGTTTTCCATGAAGATAGAAGAGACAGAAACATTTTGTTAGAACTGTGTTTATGAGTGAAGTTATGGGTGGCTGATTCTCATTGACCATTACAGATTGAAGAAAATATTTCTCCAAAATGTTGGCTTGATCCATGCTGTATCATTATCCTGAGAAGTGGCTGCTGCCCCGAACTTGGATGATTTTATAAACCACCCGCGTGGATGGCAGTCAGTGAAGCAGTCAGTGGGGCTGCCTGGAGAGAGAGCAGCGGGGTAGGCAGGGAAGCACGCGGGCTGGCGCTGGGTCCCCTTCCTGGCTCAGCCACATGCTGGCTTTGAGACTGAGGCCAGATCACTCCACCTCTGAGCCTTAGTGTCCCAACCTACCTAGCAAAGATATGTTATACCCACAGAGGTCTCATGCAATCAAATGAGGGAAAATACAGAAAACGCCTAGCGGTGCCCAGCGCATAGTAGCTTCTCCAAATGCTTTGCTGCCTTCTGTGTGAGACAGGCCTGGAGCCAGCAGCTCCGCGTCTGAAGACATCTGGTAGCTTCACAGCCTGGTGTCCAGCCTGAGATCCTGTGACTTCCAGTACTTTTTACTGTTTCTTATATTCTATATTTAAAAATGAGAAGTGAGCCAAAATTGGGTTTTCTTAATTATTTTAGTGTCATTTGCTATACTGTCTGGGTTTCATTCATTTATGCCTGGTCTTATAATAGACGTTAATAAAAGATTTTTCTCAACAGTATTATTTGTTAGAAAAGCTATAATTTTATCTATTTCATTGCTGAGGAAACAAAGCGATAAAGAGAAATATCAAAGAATTTTCTACAGAAAATCACCAAGAAAAACAGTCGAAAAAATATCTTAGGAAACTCAACAAGGAAGTGGGAAAAGATGGTTTTGAATTACTGTTTAGAAAGAAGTAGGCTGACATCATTGCCGGAGTGTGTCCTGGTGNAGGCATCGCCGGCGTGTGTCCCGGTGTGATAATCAGCTTGCAAAACCCCACTGTTCCTTTCTGTTGTTGCTGAGAATGAGGGGAAAGCACAAAGGCTTAATACAATCCGCATCCTCTCACAAGCTTGAGCGTATANCATCATTGCCGGAGTGTGTCCTGGTGTGATAATCAGCTTGCAAAGCCCACTGTTCCTTTCTGTTGTTGCTGAGAATGAGGGGAGAGCACAAAGGCTTAATACAATCCGCATCCTCTCACAAGCTTGAGCGTATACTCACTGTCTAGTTCATTTTTACCGTCTTCATGTTATTTCAATTAATAAATGAGTATTTATCCCCGATTTAGAAATTGACCTTGAAGTCCAGATCATTAAGCGCAGATAGTTCTCACAATGTTTTAAGCCATTGACTTCCAAAGAAAGAAAGAAAGAAACACCTGCCCAGCTGCGTTACCGTCAGCCCCGCGGAGCTGCTGCTGAGCGACGTTGTCCAGCTTTAGGAGTTGCCAACTCAGTTATCAACCGGGCTCTGAATTTCAGAAATGTTATCCCGCAAGATGAATGGGCGAGTCAGAGCAGCACAGCTTGGTGTTCGGGTCCAGGTGGAGGCGGCGGTGCGAGGTGGGAAATCTCGCTTTGATAGATGCGTGCGCTCCCCGGCTCTGGCAGCGGTTAAGACGCCGTGCCCGGGACCGCGGCGACGGCGCTGTGACAGTCCCCCCCGTGCTGTTCTCGGACGGCACCACCCCGGTAAACCAGTGCAGCTCTTGGGGTAATGACTCAGAAGCCAACAGGCTGTAAAGAAAAAACTTTGCTAGCAGGCACTAACATGGGTGTCATGACTCTTTTCAGGTAGTAGGTGTAACCTTGAAGAAAAAGTGGCACTGTCTTCAAAAAAGTGACCTGACCCTGGCTTTGGTGGGTTTTTCTGCAAGAAATCAAAAGCACCGCATGTGTTACCTATACATCCTTTCTAGCTGACCACTGCTTTGTTCTAGAGTTCAGCATGAAAGGACTAATTTTTTGTTTTGTTTTGGTTTGGTTTGGTTTGTTTTAGTGAAATGGCATGTCCGTTGCTAATTCTAGCTACTATAGTTGCACCTGTTAAAAATATCTATATGTAGTTTACGGATTGGTAGCATTTCAAATAAATAGTGTATTGAAATATTGGCCCAAAATTTTTTGAGATGCTCATCAATTGACCTTTTTTTCTTAGCTCAAGATAAGAGTCTGAATTATTATTATTTTTTTAAATTATACCTTGTAACATTAGATTTGTTCTTTTACGTATGTTAGGAATTTAGATATAAGCATGCCACTTCGTTTATTGCTATCTTGTTAGAACTTCTTGGAGCATGGAAAGAATTCTTCACACTGAGTTTGCTCTTTCAAAAAACTAAGCTGCAAAAATATTTGTTAAACTTTATATCTAATCTGTAAATGAGTGTAGTTTATAAAGGTATGCTAAGCTTACAGTATGTAATGTCTCATCCAAATAATTTTTATATTTTGAAAAATTGTAAAATAGTTTAATAATTCCATAATCACCCTTTTCCCAGAATTCAGAATTGCATGCACCTCTATTTTAGGAAGTTCACATTGCATCACTAAAGAATAAACCTGGGATCACTATGCTCCCCAATTTTTTTCCCTTTATTCTTCCAGATGTCAGTTCTTCTGAGGAATGTGGCCATACAGACATTTCAGAACATTTATGACAGAAACTACTGTTGCATCCATTGAATAAAATCTCTTGTAGCTGATATTCCATCATGGAAATAACACATTATCATAACTAGTAATGCTAGTTCTTAAATAAAAGACACAAAGAAATAAACTTTGAGCATTGTTAAGAGATTACACATTTTAAAATCTAGTAACTATAGAGAAAGTTCTTGTTTTCGTCAACAAAAACTGCCACTTGTTCCATTTTAGGAAGGAATGCCCGAGAAAATGGACAATGTTTTCTTCCTAGAATAAACCTACCTTCTAAGTCCTTAAAGTCCTGTGCTAGACCATGATGATAGCGTAATTCTATCCTTTTGCATTGCATAGAAAGTGTCAAGATTTATTAACCTCTGGAGTTAATATTAACCCTAGCTTTAATTCCCTTTCAGACAACAGACCCCATATGTCCATTTTTGTTTCTTTTCCTATGATATCACTGTATGCTACATTTGTATTTTAAGTAGATTTACAACACAGATATTCATGTGTGCTCTTAAAGTTATTTTCTTCAGGGAGGCTCTGCCCAGAGACCTAAGAAAATGGAGGTTTTCTCTGTTTAAAGTGTTTAAAGATTATTTAATTTTTACATAGTATGAGATGCTTCTAATTGGGTTGAGAAGGTAATATTTTATTTTTTCCATTATGTGATCTCTACTCTCAAAAATTTAATAATCTAGTAAACCAAAAAGACAGAAAGCCAGCATACCCCTTAGAATCTATAACTCTGCTTGTATGAAACAAAAAATGTAGGGAGATATGGATACCTATATATTTATATCTATATCTATCAGTGCATCAATTATTAATCATGTCTGTTTACATCTGGATTTACTGGATTCTCCAATGAGAAGACATTCTAAAATTCTATTAAAATTCTTTGGTCTCAAAAACATTGAGAATTTTTTTCATACTAGCTTCACAAAATAAGCTGGGTGAATTCCTGTGATATTAGGCCACTGAAGAATTCTGAGAGGTTTTTATGACACTTTCACTCTTTTTAGGCCCAATCCACTCAAAAATGACAGACTTTAGAGACCACCAGCCAAGCCCTCTGTGGGAGTCAGACCCTGATCCCAATCCCTGTCCTGGACTCCAGTCATTCAAAACTTTTAGGTATTATATAGAAATAACTTATCAATGAACGTAACAGGCACTCCATAATGTTTTTAAATCGATACTATAAAATTATGTTCATGTCATGTAAATTGCCTAAAATATATTATACATATAAAATACTATGTTCAATTTAAATACAATGTCAGCTGTAAAGGTGAAAACGTAGCTAAAAGTTCACAAACCATCTTTTTTCAGATTCTGTGTGTTTTCTCTTCAGCCAAAAGCCTCAAGATTCACTTGCAGCAGCCTACCTCTTCATTTATGTTGGATTGCTCTTTAAACATTAGAATATCTTGTAATAAATATTAAGTGAAAGATTTCTCCTGACACGAGTCATTGTTGATTTCACTGTTATAGGGAAAAGGCTCTAGGGCGGCAGATAAGGCTGTTGCCATGGTGATGAAGGAGATACCGAGGGAGGAGTCTGCCGAAGAAAAGCCCCTCCTTACTATGACATCACAGGTGGGCAGACCCGTAGGGCTCCTGTAGGAAGCTGACATATGTTAATGTATCAGACATTGTGATTTTTAACTAGCAAAAAAAAACAAAAAACAAAAAAGCATTAACTTGAACTAATTTTTTAAAAGCACAGTTTTAATGAAACAATTATACATTATAAAATGAAAACCAAAATTGCTAAAACAATTCATTACTTAGTCACTTATTTGTGAATATTAATTTTCATTACTCAACTTTAGTTTAAAAAATGTACGTGCAAGTAAAATGTGTTGCTTCTTTATAAAGGAGTCTTATTAACAACTTTGGGAAAGAAAGAATTAAGCTAATGATACATTTGAAAAACAACAACCAAAAAACTCAAATTCCATGAATAAATACAAGTTATATTGTATACATATGTCAGTTTACCAGTAGAATATCTAAATTTTCTTAAATGTTAAATATATTTATGTTGTGACTATGCATACTACATATTGTCTATACATATTTATGTGGATAACTAATTTACAGGAATGAGGCAGAAGTCCCTGAGTCCCCCTGCAGAAAATGGCATCTGTGACCCCTCTTATACATAGTGACCTTGACAACAAAAATATCTCTATTATAAGCACATGAGGGCCATTTTCAGCATTTATTATAACAAGTATAGAAAAAGTTTGCATTTATATGCAAAGACATGCTGAGGCTGTGAATCCTGTATGTCCTCGGGGACTTTTGAAACACCCTGTAAAATCCACATAAATATGTATAATATACTCATCACCACTCCGTGGAACTATCAGTTTTAAATTCTTAAATGAAAAATATTTTTACTTGCATTTATCTTATAATTTAGGTTAGATTGTTATCTTAAACATTTCTTTTTCTCCATAATGCAGAAAATGCAGTGATTTAGTGCCAATTATATTAACATGTCCAGAATTAGAAAAATGTCCATTTACAGTCCTCATGAAAGGCATTTATATCAAAAGCTAAGTTATGGCAGCTTATTTTCAGAATACCATCAGATCACATTCCCAGCTGCTGCCAACATGTGTGGCTTTATTTTATTCTGAACACTGTGTTGTAAGTAACAAAAATTATAACAACATATAACGTCAAAATTGAATACTAAAAGAAGTTATTAATGATTCCCAGGACTTTGGGATAAGTTTTATGTCATGAGTTTTTTACCCATGAAGAGATGACACAGTAGTAGTTAGAAGGAAATTTGCTTGACATTTACCAAGGTCTCCATTCTTCATATAATTGACACAGTAAAACATATGCAGTTTTACTTTGATCTCCTGCCCTTTGTAGAATCCATGTTCAAAATATTCAGTCCATAGTTTCTCAGGTCAGTGCTAAGGGAAATGAGAACCACTTTAAGTTCTCGGCTAAGAACAGACCCACATACATCAGTAGATAAGGCCTGTCAGATTGGCAATTGGCATAGTTGTGCTACAGCAACGTATCATTTCAGGGCATCACAATTTAGGGCAGGCTCTAGTTCCCAAAATTCTTTTTCCCTCAAACCATGCATTGGTATGTGCTTCCCAGTAATCCTTTTCAAATGTCCAAAATTATCATTATCACCTAAGCTTGAACTTAAAATGTAATGTAAAATAATATTTTTGATTTTTTAATTTAGAAAAAAAATTGTGATTATTACCATTTTCTCATATTCAGAACATTTGTGTGCACCAAGTTCCTTATTTAATCCCTATGTAATGTCGCATTAACTGTTTTTGAGGTATTAGTTACATTTTACTGCATGAAGATTGTGTAATGCTTTCTTTGATGCATCGGATCCTTGTTGCATACTGGCAAGTTTATGAATCAGCAGAGTTCTGATTCATAAAATGCAATGCACCTATTGTGTTGATAATATTATGGAATTAATTCAGTGACAGCTATGATACAATTATTTCTCAGTCAAATACAGTTTTGTTAGTTGATATACTTTTTCCACTGTACACAAGTGGCTTCTTCCCTGCTATGCACCAGTGGCATGCACAAGCCAAAAGGCAGCAGAGTGATCTGAAAAAGTGAGTACTTCTCATGGCAACCACAGCATCCAGTCCGTCACCATGCCACATTCTTACACGTGATCCTGTGTGACTGTATTAGTGTCCTGAAACATGTTTGTCCCGGTGTCTTCTGTAAAGCCCCTATGACAGTGCTACATACTGCTGAATACATCGATTCATCTTCATCACCGGTGTGTCGGTGCCAGCTGCTCATTCATAGATCAGATATGTCCGAAGCTAACTGCTGCTCTCTCGATAGTGTCCTTGGGACAATCACAATGGATTAAGTACAGAATACGTCCTTGAAATACTGATTCCTAACTTGTTTAGTGACTGTTCAACAGATTGTAAGTGCAGAACAATTCTTTACATTGAAGCAGTTTTTTGTATTGTGTGACTATTATGATCTCTTTGAGAGGGATTTAGCCAAACATAATCCAGGGAAGTCATTTATAGTACATTGAACAAAGAAGAGTTGGTCAGGTGACCTGAACTCAGAGATTGCTGGACCCCTGAGAACTGCTCTTTTAATTTAATTTAATTATTAATTCTGTATTAATGAACTATGTCAAGCACTTCAAAGAAGCTCAAGTTCATGCTGTCCTAGCCTAACACTTGAAATCAAACAGTATGTAAACAAGTGTGCATTGATGAAAGGATTGAAGGGGGGGAAATTAGGTGACTTGTCAAGTCTTTGAGGAAAGCTTCTCTAGACCTGCGCTGTCCAACACAGTAGGCAGTAGCTACATGAGGCCATTGAGTACTGTGTAGCTACCCCAAATTGAGATGTGCTAGAAGTATAAAATACACATCAGATTTTGAAGATTTTGTCCAAAGAGAAACAATATAAACTGGCACATTAATAATTTTCATATTGATTACATGTTGAAATGGTATTTTGGCTATATTGAGCTAAATAAAATGTATTGTTAAAATTATTTTCACCTGTTTCTTCTCACTTTTTAAAAAAATGTCTATTAGAAAGTTTAAAATCACCAGCCTCTTGTTATATTTCTATTAAACAGCATTACTTAGACTCTAATAGTTTAAATAACTCCAGTTTGAGGACAGAAGGGAAAACTATAAGCCAAAGATTCATTATATTGTAGAAAAATTATATTCTTTACGAAAATGAAATTACTTTAGCAAATATTTTTCTCTCATAAGGAACCTTAAGAAATTTTCATTTTAACCACATCTGCTGGTACTTGTTTTTCACAAGGTATATCCCCTTCGTTTTTTGCTACAAAGCATACACAATGTCTTAAAACTATGTGTTCCAGACCTCTTATTGTTAAGGAAGTTTGTTTTTCAAGTTCAGCCTTCGTTTTTCTATATGTCCCCACCCCTTATACCTCAATATTGATTTAACTTTTGTGTCTGATAAAGATAAAAAGAGTAATATCCTTGACTGGAAAAATATTCTCAAGGCTACTAAATATATAGCCTTGTTTAGGCTTCTGTTACCAACTTGAAAGAATTGCCTTCATTATGTTCTCCTGCCTGCCCTAGTGTTAGCACTACCCAAGGTGTAAACAGTAATATTTGTTCATTTTCCCATGAACAGATTGGCACTTATAAATCTAATTATCCTGTCAGAAAAATACTTGCAGTCAGTTGAGATTTAGATCAAGTCAGAGTTGAAAGTTATCACATGGTTTATCCTTTACAAAGATCCACTGGGACCCAAATACTGTATAAAAACTGGGACAAGGGGAAAGACCATGAGTACCATTAGCTCATAAGAAATTAATTCTGTCCAGTGTCAGGGTTACCAAAGCAAAGCTACCAAAGTCTGAGTACTTAAAGGACTCATGATAATCATTTAGTTTTCTTGTCTTTTCCATGGAATTAGTTAACTTGGTTTTGATATGGTCACTATTTTGATGGGCATTGCACACATTTCTAAACTTGGATAAGACTAATAAAGCCATAAACAAATAGTTCAATTTCAAAATTATGAACGAACCCTACTTAACAAATGACACATACTTTGAATCAAGTGTACAAATAATAAAGGCATTTTCAAAATGCATAAAGATATACCTTTTAAAAGCATAGCTGTGTTTGCATTTATAAAGAAATGAAACAATCTTAAACCTTTTCTATTATTTAGATGAGATAAAAGACATGGGATATTATTACAAATTGTTTTTAAATCAGCATTACAAATATGAGATATTTGTCAGCTGTTTTTTAACTTATTAGCTTCAATGTTTTAACTTTTAAAATTATTCTTTAAGTACTAAAATGCTTAAAAATAAAAACAGAATATTTTACTTTAAAACAACAGTTCGAGATCATCAATCTGAAGTGTAAAGTTATGGAATAATGGATTATTATTCTTTACAGACCTTGTTCTATCATATAAAATGTATTTTGGCTTGAAGTTAATTTGTAATGACATAAGTTATCACAAACCTTTAGCTATATATTTTTTAATGAAACACCTGAGCAATATATTGGTTAAAGACAAATAAGCTTAGATTTAAGTCACAAAACAAGCTATGTAAACATATACTGGAGCCTAAGTAACAGGCAGTGTTTAAAAGCACAATACTCTCATCTTGGTTAAGTGTTCCCCTTTAGCTTAGATTATATAATAATTTAATTTTTTAACACTGAAATTAGAGAAATTCAAGTTGAACTAAGGCAAATGCATTTTTAGGCAAAGTTTTAAAACAAATCATAATTCATTAAAGGTGCATAATACTGTCTGCATTTTGTTCAACACAAAACATAGTGTTGATATAAAATAACAACCAGTTTGGTCCTGTGGTGGCTGATATTAGCCATATCAACTAACCAGTCTAAGTCATTAGTAAACTGAAGACATTTGACTGAATATTTCATTCACAACCTATGACTACAAAGAAGGTGTAAGGTTCAATAGCCTTTTGAATTCTGAGTGACAGGAAGCCCCTCCAAGCAAGTTCTCACCTATCTCCTACCTTCTGCTGTTTCCTTTTGTTTGTGTCCATTGACTGTGTAAGGGTTTCCCCTCAAAGTCTCCAAATTTGAATCTCTGACCTAAAATCTCTGAAGTAGTAGTGTTATGTCTTAAACTGTCTCTGGCCCCCCATGTGCACTGGTCTGTGGCCTTCTTCCAAGGATGTCGGAGAGCAAATCTGTGCCTGAGTTTCCATTTTTCTCATTAGGCACTCTCCCTTTGCACTCTCGACTTTTTGATAGAATCCTTGCATTTGGAAATGTTCCTCTTGGTACCTCTAGGTTTCTCAACATTAAAATGATGTGACACTGGTGATGGTGGGGAGGAGACGGACTTAGATTTGTGGTTTAAAACCTGTCGGGAGATTGGTAAACATTTCTGAGGACCACTGACCTCCTTGTGAGTTGATTAAACCCAGCAGGAAACTGAGGCTGCCCACGCAATCATTCTTTTGTGCAATTCACCATTCAGTTAGATTTATAAAATCAGTCGACATTTATTAAACTGCTACTATGAGATACAACATTTAACTGGATAAGGTCTCTACCCTGAAAGAGGTCACAGTCTCGTGGGAGGAAAGCAGGGAAAACTGGGTAAAGATGGGACCGTGGAGATGCTGTGGGAAGGCGCCCAGTGTGCAGTGGGACAGGCTCCTGAAGGACAAATGAGGATCTATCCCCATTAGAAATGCCTTTGAACTTACCTAAACATTGAGCATAGGACAAAGGGAGATAAAAAATGAAAATTTAAAATGTAAACAAAGTGAGACAATGCCTTAGCAAGTAATTAAATGGATCACTTTAATTCCCTTATGATAGTCAGATTGGACCAAAATTACAATCACTCCAACTCAGTTATTCACAAAAAAAAAAAAAAAAAGTCTTTCAACTCACCTTTTATTTTAATAACATCAATCAATGTACTCTGTTCCCAAAGGATGAAAGGTGGTAAGTTCATAAAGTATTCTCAAACTGAAGGAAGTAACCCTAAGAGGAAAGCAAGCAGCACCCTGTCACCGTGTGAGGAGAGAATGACTGGCCTCCGACTGGAAGTAAAGCTTAGGGCAACTATTGGGGGATTCGGTCCAGTTTGCAATTTTCCTTTAAGACCTAAAAGATTTACTTATTCTCAAGTCTCCAAAGGAAAACCATGAACTTGTTTGGAAATGTGGAGGCAGAGGCCATGTGAAAAGCGACTCTTACCTATACAAATAAAAATAAAATGGGACAAAATGAGACTTACTATGGTTAAAATAATGATTCCTAAGTTCATCCGACTGAAGACACAGTTCAAAATTAGACTGTTTGAGATAGATCTTTTTATATCTCCAGTTTCTGCAGAGTCACTGTCCCCTTCGGTAACCATTTACTGGGGCCTTCTTATATGAAGACATTCTGTTCAAAGTCGTGAAGAATATAAATATGAGTAAGCCATAGCCTCTGACCTCAGAGCCTATAAAAAAGATTTCTTTATGATATCTCCTGTTTCATCTTCCACATCCCAATCAAAACCAAAAAGCTTTCTGTTCCCAAATTACCTTTCCATGCTATCAGAAACCTGGCCCTTTATCTCCTTCACCTCTGAGCTCTGTCACTACCCCCCACTCCAGCCCCAGCATTTCCCAAGAGCTAAACTGTGCTTCAGCTTGAAAAACACTGACTCAGAAAGTAGTTTTTTCCCTCTGATTTGTATCCACGGAAGAAAGCTACAGGAGCAGCTCAGTTCAGGGAATTGGGCAGACATAACAACTCCATTAGCGTAGGTATGAAATGTGGTCAGAAACGAGACAGTAGGCATGGAAGAGGCCCGACCTTAGGACACAGGGGATTAGGAGAGGACTGGAGAAGCCATGCTGTCGTCCTGGGCTCCCTAGAGTCTCTCTGAACAGCCTCTTCTTTGGCAGAGAAAATTTGAGAATGCTAGAGGTGCTTTCTCCAGGAAATAAGTCTGAAGTATGAAAGAGGAGAGAGATTCCCCCAAAAATCTTATTACCTTTGATAAAGCAGACTTGCCTAAAAAGACAGGCCTCTCAATTAACTGTGCTTTTACCTTTGTTTTTTCACTTAGATGTTTATGTGGACAAAGGTCTTACTTTCTAGAATTCTCTTATCATATTTAGACTATCATTTTTTCAATGTTTACAACTAAAAGTATGTACAGAAATCTAATACCCTGGCCTTCTAAAACTATAGGTAATTTATGCCTATTTTACAAAGGAATTTAATTGTATCCAAAGTAAAGAAAAAATAGAGACACTTTGGTGGACTATAATTTATACTTATCTTTATATAATAATTGATCTTAAAATCATGACTAAGAGAATAACTAAATTATTCTTAGTTATCTATCAATATCATCAGAATTCTTCAGAGAAATAATGGCTATCAAAGAGACAGTCATGGCATTGCACATACATATATAAAACTTTCAAGTTGCAGTTGTATTGGTTGTATTTACTCTGTGCACCTGTGCTCTTTAGCCAGTTGACCTGAGACCAAAATCAGAGACCAAGCAATCAGAACGCACTGATTAGTAACTGCTAGCCTGTTACACTAGCTTGTGTGAGAGCAGTGTGGTGCCATTTTGATGGTGACCTTCACCCTCTGGGAATGTTTACAGTACAGCAGGACCCAGATCTCATTTGGCATGAGGATGGCGCAGCCTGGAGATCAGCACTGTTGCTAATTCACATTCAGGACCATCACATCACTCTGGTGATACCACACTAGATGGGTTCATTACTCTAAGCATATATGGTTAAAAGGGCAAGTCCTTTCAAGAAATATATATCAATGTGTGGGTCCTTTAGAATCTCTTGCGTGCACTAAGTTTTTATATGACCAAACTATAAATGAAATACAAGTCCTAGAGAACTAATCACGTTTTCAGGAAAAGTATATGGGAAGTTTTGTGGACTCAGAAGGGCTCCCAGAATCACTGGTGTTTAACCATTTCTTCATTTTCTAGTATATTATATTCCACATCAGTGCTTTCCACTGTATTTCCAGATAATAAAATTGACTTATATGCCAGAAAATATAATAAATCACTCCTAAACTCAAATAGACCACAGCATTTACAAAAATTCAAATATATTTTATCACAGAAACGTGAAAGGCTCATAGTGCCTCAACATTAAAATATATTTCAATATAAATGAGTGATAGCCGACAATGTTCAAATTCAGAAAACAGAATTCAAAGGTACTCAGAGTTTCACTCATCAATTAAAGGATCATCCCTCCCCAAAAGGTTAAGATCCAAACAGACCTTAGATAATTTGATTTCTAGAAAAATCTGTGAGTCTTTATACACAGTAACACTAAACTTTTAATAATTGAAGAAATTTCTGTCCCTGTAACTCAAACACTAACGAAAATGGACATTCTCAAGGTTCACCCCTTGAGAATGTCCACAGATTACTACATATGAAAGTCATATTGCCATCTCTACGTCAAAATCTTAAACTCTAGTGAAGATCTGAGATTTAGCCCTGGTTAGATCATAGGATCTACATGTAAAAGTACCCAATGTGCCTCTTGGTTTTCAGTCCCCAAATGATCACTGAATGTTTCCATATTCCTCCTACAGTAATAATAGCTTTGCACTTTTTTCTTCTCACATTTACCATTATTTATAGGTCTCTTGCCATCTTCCATAAGCTCTGAGCTATAATACCACTGACACTGTGCCTAAGAAATAATGAAGTAAGAGTGAATAGAGTTACATAAAATACTTTGATTTGGTAGTACTCTAAAACCCTTTATTTGTTATTTTATATGCCTCTTAAAATACAGCCTTGCAAATAAGTATTTAGAAATAGCTAGAGGTTTTTAGGCATACCTTTTTAAATACAATATGTAGAAAACTAGATGGCTATGCCCATTTTAAGAAAGGCTAATATAAAATCTTGTGAAAGACTGAGACAGTTAATTTAGGGATTAATCACTTTTGTATCACAGGTATATTTTTTCCCTTAACCACAGAAACAGAACTTAAGGAAGTCTGGATTCAAGAGGTGCCAAATAACTGATGGTACATAGATGGCTGCCACTGATAGATAGAGGCCTCCTAAAACTCAAACTGAAAGAGTTCGGAAATCACAGAACAAGCCAGTGGGAAAATAGAATTGAAATCGCAGAAATCTGCCTTACATATAGATTTCCACAAACATATCTACTTATGCAGTTAATACGATAGTTAATATAACGATATGTTGGGCTCTTCCACAGTGATGTTCCTTACGCACTGCAGAAGCACAAAGCATTGCAAGGAGATGTAAGGAAGGGCGTGGGTGCCAGGGGGCGACTTGAGCTTTTTGAGAGAAGGGAGTGTGTCCCCCCACCCCCAGATCTGTGTGTGTGCTGTTCCCCCAAAACACTGGCTGGCCGGTCCTAGCCAGAGTGTGTCACCTCAAAGTCTGAAGTCACCGTTCCAGGTCTTCGTAGGAGCTTCGTGTCCAAGGAAAGAGTGGGGTTGGCCCTTAGGCACAGTGATCCCATAGGCCTCATTTTCTACCTACTGAAATTAGAGGGTAATTCTAAAACTTCTCGGAGAGGAGAAAAAGCTTGAGCTTTACGAATTGAAGTTGGCTGCATCAGAAGTGTTGACAGTGCTAAAAGGCTCATTCCCCGTCCTTTGGTATTTTTTTTTCTTTCTTGCCCCTCCCCCTTTATTTACCGGTTTATTTATTTTTTTGGTAGGCTTGCTATTCTCATTTTGTTGCAAGGCTGCGTTTGAACTCGTCTGACCCAGCAGTTTAACATGGCCTTTGACACCTGTGTTCGTTTGTCCTCAGCTGGTGAATGAACAGCAAGAAAGCAGACCCCTCCTGAGTCCCTCCATCGACGACTTTCTCTGTGAAACCAAATCGGAGGCAATAGCAAGGCCAGTAACATCCAACACAGCCGGTAATTCTTTCACTTTTAACTGATCCACAAGTAGAGTTCATTTTCACTATAGTAAAATGCACATTTTCTTTCCACAATGCATTTTAAGTGGAGAATACGTTTGCAACCAACTTAAACTTTAGAACATACACTATTCAACATAAACCAAAAAGTCACTTTCCATTGTACAGGTATATAAGAAACTGCCATGTATATTATGCAACCAACTCTGCTGAACATTAGAGTGCCACTATTCGCAATGAATCCTTTTCCTATGTATATTTTCATATTTACAGCTCTAGCATTTCCATCACATTGGGAAATCTTTAAAATAAAAGTATCTATTTCAGACTAAGGTTTTTCCAGGTCTGGCTAGAAATACTTTGTATGACAAGGTGAGTAAAATAAAAATATAGGCAGCCCCTTCGAGCGTATTGAAATGACTATTAAAATGTCCTAGAGACTTGGGATATTATTGAGCAAGTTTTATTTTCATGTCATGTAAATGTGTCACTTGCTCCCTCTTACAACAATCTTTTTGAAATTAAACATACTCAAGCAGTAACCAGTGATCTAAGAGGCACTAATAAGTATTCACCCCATGAGGAAAGCAGGACGCCACAGGTATGAATGACACCTTCTCAAGTACCCTCTGCGTTTCCCAGTTCTCACTGATACTAAAGCTGAGTCACTTAGGTAAGGCCCACCCCGAGGGAGCAACATAAGATTTGACTTGAAAGCGAATTTTCACCTTCGATATCAGAGATAGCCTTTCTGCATTGATTTCATTCAGTCAACATTCACATTCAAAGGCATGTTGTTCAAATAAGAATGAAAAAATGATGTTCAGAATCAGAGAGCAAAGGTTACGTTGGGTTGTAGGAGAGAATTTAACAAAGAAAGGACATGATAATCACATACTGTCTTGTTAAATTCCTTCCATCTCCCTATCATGACCTCAGTTTACTGTTGCCTGCATATTTTCATTACACCCTTCAGTAAGTGAAGAAAGTCACAGGGGAAGAAAATTGTGATTTTTTTAAAAATGCTTAAAATTTCAACAACGGGAGTAACTAACACGAGACAGAGTCACTTTATGTGGGAGTGTAGTCTGCAGTCTTTGGGGTCAAAGTTCATGATTTCAAACCTCAGCTTTGCCACTGAGCAGCTCTGTGTCCTTGGGCAAGTTGCTTAACAAAGTCTGCTTCCTCATCTATCTAATAATAGTAAGATCTAGATCTCATAGTTTCCTTGGGAAGATTAAATGAAGCAATCTGTGTAAGTCTTTACACCATGTGAGTTCTAACAGGTACTACTGTTACTGTAAGCTATCAGTTGAAAAACAGTATACCCAACACTTACCTTTTCAAATGCATTAACTTTCTGTCCATCACACCAAAACAATCATCTTCTACACTCAGCTATCACTTTGAGTAATAAGCAAATAAAATTGTGCTTGTTACATTTTAGGCAGGAAATTCAGTAAATTCACATGCCATCAGATCCGATTCTTCCTTCTTATCTATGAAACTGGAGCTCCTCCCTCCAAAACCGGAGAGCTACCCCCAGAAGAATCCAGAGGAGCCTTGTGGGAAATCCATGAGAACTGGATGCGCTGAGAATTTCCCCCTGTTCTCAGAAAAGCTGTCCAGCGTAGAATTCTCAGATCTTGGTTCCAGTACCCTCTGCACCTTCCAGTTCTATCTGATGCCAAAACTAAGTCACTTAGGAAGAGCCCACCCAAACGAGCAACATGACATTTGACTCAAAAACTACCTTCACCTTAGTTTGTCTAACATATGAGAGACCTGGAGGGAAAAAATCAAAAGAATGTGTAATTTCTTATAATCTCAATGCCTACAGTATTGCCTCTGTGTTAGTTTCCTAGGATTTCCATGACAAAATATCACAACCTGAATAGATTAAACAACATAAACTTATTGTCTCACAATTCTGGAACCGAGAAGTACAAAATCAAGGTCAGTAGGGCCATTCTCCCTCTGCAGGAGCTTGGGCAGGATCTATTCCAGGCCTCTCTCCTAGTTTCTGGTAGTTCCTTGGCTTGTGGCAGCATAGCTCCAATCTTCACCCGATGTTCTTTCTGTGTGTGTGTCTCTCCCTGTGTCCAAACTTCCCCTTTCTATGAGGATACCAGTAGATGGGCCCCTACTCCAACGTGACTCATCTTAACTCATTACATCTCCAGTGACCCTGTTTCCAAATGAAGTCACATTCTGAGGTCCTGGGGGTTAAGACTTCAACAGATGAGTTTTGCGGGGACACAATTCAATCCATAATGCTCTTCAGAGTAGGGGGGTCAGGAAAAGTGATATTTTGCAACTGGATTTTTCTTTTCTCAGCCACAGCATTCAGAACATCTGAGTCACACAGATATTTATCCTGAAGGAAGAATCTTGTTTGATAGTGTGTTTTTTAATCTTAAAAGTATAGCTAAGGGCAGAAACACTATATGCTTTTAGTCCCTAAGGAATATAGTTCTTTTTAAAATTGTTACAAAAACCTATAACATATCTCAATATGCAACATAATTCACATTATTACACATCTTTAAAGAGGAAAAGTTTTAGCATTCAAACACCTTGGAAAGAATTCTAATTTGTTCCAATAATTTTACAGTTAAAGTTTTTAGGCAAGAGATAGAGTTATCATTTTCTGTCCAAATTTTTAATAAAAATAGTAATTTTTAAATGGAACATTGCCATTTTATAGAGTGGAATGAAATTACATTGGGAAATCAGAACAGTCATTGAATATTGTCCATGACATTCTAGGCATTATACTTAAAATGAGTATTAAACAATCTTGGAGTAAAATATAGAAGAAATCCTGCTTCAAGTTTGTACCAATTCAACCCCGCTGAAATTTGAAGAACCTTATGTGAAGATGAGAGGCATTTATATAGGGCATTTTCTTCCAATGAAAAATTAAAGTCAGCGTGCTACCATCTTGGCATTTACTTAACTGTTTAAGGAATACAGTTCTTATACAAATTAACACAAAGTAAAAAATATAGGAAATAGTTATCTCTTCCAAAAATCCGTTAAATAATGTTTTTTTCTCTATTAACCCTAAAAGAACATATCAATGTTTTGCCTCATAGGAGTTCTAAATTATAATTTTTTTCTTAAGTATCTCAATTATCTTTTTTACTTTCTGCTTGTTTTTCTACACTAGAATTAACTTCTTGTCATCCAATGATGATAGTGTCAAGCTGGCCAAATAAGGATGTTTTTATCTTTTTTTGTTATTAACCTCCAAAATTATCTTTAATTCATCTGTAACCTAAAAAGATAGCTAATCCCTTGACTTTCTCAAACTGTATCCGTAAGTGGTAGGTAGGCCAAGAACATTGCTAATATCCTTATTTAAAAATGACAAATAACTATATATTGTACACATGTGCATATATCAAATGCTCTGAAAGTAACTAGACAATAGATATGTTAAGAGAGTGATTATATTATAGGACAAATAATTATTATAAAATTTGCAATAGTAACTTGTCTGTATTCTCCCAAAAAAAAGGCTAATATATGTCTAAGTGTAGGAAAGACTCTTTTCTAAAATACAAGAAAAGTAAGGTTCCTTGGTTCTCATTTATCAATCTATATAATTTAAAAGAATTGCATCCATAAACTTGAGCTATTAGGTGGACAGGTACTATATAAGAAAGCTTTTCCATGGTTTAAAAAATTATCTCACTCCTTGATATGGGACCCGTATACAGTACCTATATAAAAGATCCTTATAAATAAGGGGAGAGGTACTCTTAACAAAGTTCACAATTTCAAATAAGCCACCTAATAAGATATCTTATCTGCAAACTTAGTGTCACATTTGCAAAATACATATTTTTGAAGCCCAGGTAGCCATGAACCTAATGGCATATCTCTAGAGAGAACTTAGAAATTTGGGAAGTAGTGTTAATTACATATTCCAATAAAAAGGCAAAACTTGGTTGAATTATTTGAGTCTAATATATCTATTTCACATCACTGGCAAAGTCCTTCCTAAAAGACTTTGCTTTGTAGCCACTATATTAAAGAATATCTTCTAGAACAGAACAGAGATCCTATCGGCTCCCTGTGGCACATTCTGTGACTGCACCAGTCAGGATTGTCCCGTGATTGACCTCTCTGACCACTCCATCTAGATTTATTCCTTTTGAGAAATTCACTAAAAATCTGAGGCTCATTATACTGTAGTGGTGTTAACAGCATTGTGTTTACCGTCAAAGTATCAAATCAGGGCTTCATTATAGGTGCGATTTTATTCCGTTTCAAGCAGCCTCACCTCCCAGGGCCTAAGTAATCTAGTATTCATAAGCATCTTCAGTGCCCTGAGGGAGTCCTCCAGTTCAATAGAGTGTGATCCTCAATCAGGTGTCTTTGAAATAGATGGAAACAAGTATTTATGTATTCTATCTTCAGGAAATTTCACCCAATGAAATTAGGTTATCCAAAAAGTTTCTGAAATTGCCTATTATTTAAATTATGCCTCAGACTACCCTGCCTGCCAAATAATTGGGAGCTAAACAAAAAATAATCAAAGCCGTATCAATAGAATTAGCACATTGCCTCCAGGTTCAGATAAAGTCTAAAGAGGAGTGGTGAAGCACACAGGCTTGGGAGTGTCAGGGCCTGTGTTTGAATCCTCTTTTGGACAATGTCCTACCGTAACAAATTACCACAAATGTAGTAGCTCAGAACAATACAAATGTATTATCCTACAAGTCTGGAAGTCAGCGGGCCTAAAATCAATGTATCAGCAGGGCTGCATTCCTCCTGGAGGCTCCAAAGAATTCATTTCCTTGCCTTTTCCAAGCTTCAAGGGGTACCTGGGATTCCTTTGCTTGTGGTCCCTTCCTCCATCTCCAAATAGCATAGCATCATCAAGCCTGCCTCTCTCTCTCCCCCGTCTCTCTCTCTTTCCCTCCCCCTCTCTCTCACACACATACACACACACCATACTTGCACAGATACATTTTCACATTAATTTAAACACACGGATTCTGGAACCCAACCTTCCTGTGCCTAAGAGAATCTTTTAAATTGGGTTAAGAAATCCAGCAGAGAAATACCCCCTTCTATGCCAAGATATTCTGTCTTTGAAGGGCACACACACACACACACACACACACACACACACACGCACGCACACATACACGCGCATGAGAGCTAAAATGTGATTTGTCTTCTTCCAAAAAGTGAAAAGCTGCACCCATCCTTCTTTGCTTTTGAAATTGTGGTCCCAGAGATTCTTCAGCTTCAAATCTTTCCATACAACCTTCAGGCCACTCCCTTCATCAGCTGGGTAACAAATAAGGCCTTTTGTGTGTGCCAAGCATTTGTTTCCCATTTGCTGGGAAAACAACAAAGGAACAGAGAGCTCAGAACAAACACAGGAAGTGCTGAGGACCATTTGGATGGGAAAGGATGTTTCTGAGCCAAGTTTGAATTCTCAATTCACTCTTATAGTAATTCATTTATTCCGAATGGCGAGAAGCAGATACAGAATTAAATTAATACTCACCTGTTATTATTTGTAACAAACGTACTTCCTATATACGAGTAGACGAGTCCTATGTAATTTGCTTCTAAAAGAAGTGTGGGAGCAAGTGACTAATTCCTAACTGTTTTACAATTAGTAAGAAGACATATATGGTGTTCCAGACTGTTTTCCACTTCTTGCCTTCTATTATAAGGAAATTATGGTGGGCCTAGGATACTTGCCAATGTAGCAGTGGCCTGGAAGTTTTTGTTTAAACATTCAAAGGCTGTGAAACGTGTGGTGTCCTAGCCTGTCTTGGCTGCATGCCATGCTTAAATTGTGGACATCAAGCCAGGTGCCTCAGCTCTGAAAGCCACTTCCCTTCCCCCGAGTTCCAGTACTTGTTGGCCACGGGTACTCCTCAGATCTCAGAGCATCTGAGCACTGGAAAGTGGCTCCCATCTCATCAGGAACACTCAGATGAGATAAGCTGATACTTTCAGGCCATTTTAGGAGAAATTTACTTCCTAGCATCTTCTGTAGAACCAACATCTTCGTCTCATCCTCCACTTTATTCCCAGGGGTTTTTCCTCTTTCTCTCAGTGCATGGAGCTGGTTCCTGCCTGAAATAGAAAGGATCAGGGAAGATAGAAGATCAACAAAAAGGAAAAGGAAAGAAAAGCATCACGAACTGGCCACCAAAGAAGGGAAATAGCCTTTATCTAGTACCTACTGTATACCCAGCATTTTACACATTCGATTTATAGATTAGAAAATTAAATCTCTTTGTCATACCTAAAAGACAGATGATTAATTCCACATTTTCCAGATTAAGAAACTAAAACACAGAGAAGTCAAGAAACTTACTCCAAGTCACACAGCTAAGCAGTGGTACAGCCAGATGTTTCCACTTTACCATCAACATGCAACCACTGTGCTTTGTAATTGAAAGCAGAAAACAGAATCGTGGAGAGTAAAGCTTGGCACGCTGTCTTAAGGATTCCATAGGGATGCTTAGCTCACGAGGATGGTGCAATACTAAAGAAATCCTGGTTGCCCAGCCAGCATGGCTCAGCAGTTGAGCATCGACCTATAACCTAGGCGATCCAGGTTCCATTCCCAGTCGGGCCACATGCCCAGGTTGGGGGCTCGATCCCCAGTGGGAGGCATGCAGGAGGCAATCGATCAGTGACTCATCACTGATGTTTCTATCTTTCTCCCTCTCCCTTCTTCTCTCTGAAATCAATAAGACATATTAAAAAAAAAAAAAAAATCTTGGCTGTGAGCTCATCTGAGCCCTGACCCTGCTTTGAGTGCAAGGGGGAAGCAGATGGAGGAGAGCTGAAACATCAACAAAGGTCCATTCCTACCAAGAGGAAAAGCTGGAGATCAAAGAGGAGATCAAAAAGCTGGAGATCAAAGTGGTGCAGGCCTTGGAGATGGTGCCCGGAAGGGTTAACACCGGGAGTTTTAGTGTCACTTTGGTGGCTTTTCTAAGCTAGCTGGGTAAAGAGATTCTGGGCCAGGAAGCACCAGGCCAGTTCAGAAGCCAGCCTCTCAGCTGCCAAGGCTGGTGGAGAGGTAGGGCAGACGGGAGCTTCTCTAATCAGAAATTTCCATTTCTCACAATGAGCTAGTCAAACACTGGTTATTTGCACTGCAAGGGCAAGAAGAATGAGGAGCTTCACAGCTTGCCTTTTAAGTTCTCCTTTGCCTAGTTTGCATTTGAACAAACTATTATTGCTGTCTGCATTACAGTGTTTAATATAATGTAATCAACCTTCTAGGAAGTAAAAGTCTAACCGTTTTGTGATTTGTTATATTGAAATTGAAATTTGCATAATAAGCAGCAAAGGCATTAACATGTGTACCTATTCATCAACTATGGATTATGAAACACCTATCTGGTTGAGCCCACGCAGCAGGCCATTTTCTGATTGAATTGCTTAATTAAATAAAAGATAATTAACAACATTCTTTTATATTGTGTTTGTTTTAGCAGTTTGAAATTAAAACACAAAGACATTCAGAAACTTTACCAAATTGTCCTTATAACTGTTTCCCTAGCATATCTCTGAAAATGATAGATTGATTCTTCTCTGGGAAAAAAACTGCACTCTAAAATAAACTTCTCTATAAATCAAGCAAAGCAAAGTAGATGGTACCTGAACTCAGATTCAATTTTCTCATTTTAATTTCATTCAAACCTTCATCACTGGTGAGGCTGATCTAAATCCTGCTTTGCAGATTTGTACCATGCCAAAAAAACAAAACAAAAAACAAGCAGCCAACTTCCCCATGTAAATACAAACTGTCTTTATAAATCAGGGGCGAGCTCACTTAATGCGGTGCTTCTAACCCACACAACAAACACAAATGCCTTCTGCACCAAACTGAAACCTATTTTTTAAAATAATTTCAGAGCACTGAGCAAGCTTATCTTACCGTCTTTCTTCTCTGATAGTACTGACCACAGGCTTAGATCTCCTTGACCTGAGTGAACCCGTCTCGCAAACCCAAACCAAAGCCAAGAAGTTGGAAGCCTCATCGAAAACCTCGTCACTCAAGAAGAAGGCTGATGGATCCGACCTCGTCGGTGCAGATGCCGAGCAGAGAGGCCAGCAGCCTCTTCGAGGGCCGGAGGCGTCATCCTTAGATTTAGGTGAGGCAATAGCTAGTGCCAGCTGCTGCTCACCCCTGCCTTGATCCATCAAGGAAGCTCCACAAGTAACGTTAAAACCATGGGCAAAGGGGTAGAAAGGATGAATTCTGTGTAGAAAACTGGGCAGGACACACTTCTTTTGTGCTTGGATTAAGTGACAGTTGGGAGCTCAACTTTGCATAACTGATGTGGATTCATTCATTTATTTATTCAACCCACATGTATTAAATCTTGATGGGCACCATACTAGGCACTGGAGTTACAAGTAGAAACCAGACATGAATATTGCTCTCTAGGAGCATTCAGTCTAGAGGGAGAAAGAGCCCAGGAGAGAGCGAGAGAGAGAAAGAGAGAGAAAAAACTCTAACACAAGGTCCAGGAACACCCAGACAGAATGGTAACAGTCACCTGGGTAGAAGTACATTTGATACAATAACAGCTACCATTTATTGATGGCTTATAATGTCCAGGACTGTGCTACATGATTTACATGTATTAGTCCTTTAATTCACCCCAACTCTTTGAAATAAGTGAGGAACCAGGTCTTCAAATGTCAATAACTTGCCCAATATCTCAGTTAGTATAAGAAGAGCTGGAATTTGGGGCTAGCTCTAATTAACTTCAAACCCCTTACTTTCATCCACTGCACATCTTCCTGAGAAAGGAGAGCTTGACCTCAGCTCATGGAACCAGCCAAATTAAGCTCTCTTTTCTTGGGAAAAATAAAGGTAGCAGGTATTTTATTTCTAAAAAGGGAACATGTATTTCTCCAGGCTGAGACCGACTGGTGTGTATGTGTGTACATATGTGCTTGGTAAATAGTCACAAAATTAGCATATTAGTAACCTACCCCTCAGGTTGTGAAGATTAAAGGGGATATGTATGTGAAATGCTTCGTTTGTTCAGTAAATATTTCTCTGAATACCTACTGTGTCCATCCTGTGTGCTAGGGATGCAAAGATAAATAATTTAAGCTCTCTGCCTTAGTTGAGTTGACATTCTTGCTTAGTAAGTTTACACTCTAGTGGGGAGATAGAAAAACGACTAAGTGATTATAATAAAATATGCACGACAGTAGTCCCCCGTATTCACAGTTTCGCTTTTTGAGGTTTCAGTTACCTGCAGTCAACCACAGCCCGAAAATGTTAGATGGAAAATTCCCGAAAGAAACAGTTCGTAAGTTTTAAATGGCGTGCCATTCTGAGGAACATGATGAAGTGTCAAGGGGTCTGGCTCCATCCCTCCGAGGGTGTGAATCCAGTGCGTCCATGCTGTGGACGCTCCCCCCCATTAGTCACTTATTAGCTGCCTCAGCTTTCAGACCGCCCGTCTCTGTATTGCAGTGCTTGTGTCCAAGGGACCCCAACTGTACTTAATAATGACCCCGAAGCACAAGAGTGCTGATGCTGGCAATTCGGATAAGCCCAAGGGAACCCGTTAAGGTCTTTCTATAAGTGAAAAGGTGAAAGTTCTCAGTTTGATGAGGAAAGAAAAAAATCATATGCCGTGGTTGCTAAGATCCATGGTAAGAACAAATCTTCAATCTGTAAAATGGCCTAATTTTCAAATTAAATTGTATCTTAGGTGTGTATGATTAGGAGAAAACATAGTATATATAGGATTCGGGACTGAAACCTTCAGGCATCCATTGGGGGCCTTGAAAAGTATCCCCTGCAGATAAGGGAGGATGGCAGTGTGTGTTGCAGTCAAGGGAAACCCAGGCCACTTCCTACAAGGGCGCCGTCCTGGAGCCCTGGCCCGGCGGGCGGTGTAGAGGTGTCTTTAGGAGGTTCTCTGTGAGCAGAGTCTTGAGGGATGAAAAGGAATTTTCCAGATGAAAAACATGGATCAGAGAGAGGTGGCGAGGCAAGGACAGAGCATTCTTGGTGCAGAAGAGAGGGGAATTCACAAACGGACAAACACACACAAAAAATGTCTTTTCAAGCAAATAGAAGTATTGTGATAGTATTCAAGTGGCAAGAACTAAGTCTGAGAGTCACTAGGGGTCAGGATAGTGGGAGTTCTTGGATGCCATGCCCTTGAGTTTGGGGGAAAGGCAGGGTTGAAGGGTTTTACACATAAGAGTAACATGAACAGAGTCTACTTTAAAAAAATGTCTCTCTGTTGGTTGTGTAGAGAAAGGGGTGGGAGTAGAGAGACCCATGCAGGCATCTAAGGTAGTGACAGAGGCGATAGTTAGAGGGAGAGAGATTTAGGAAAAATTAAAGCAGGACCTGTGGACTGAGTAGACATGTGTATGCCAGCAAGGAAGACACATAGAATGGCCACACTCTATGGTGAGGACACAAGAGGGACAGAGGGAGGGAGGGAGTCAAGGCGGAAACGATGGAATCAGTTTTGAACCTGTTATACAGGGTGGGACAAAAGTAGGTTTACAGTTGTTCATATGGAAAATAATACAATAATTAATAAATAATAATACAAGAATAAACTCTGTGTTTTTTTGTACGCACAACTTAAACCTACTTTTGCCCACCCCTGTATTTGAGGAAACTGGGACTTCTCTGTGGAAATGTCCAATAGACTGTTAAATAGAACTTGGAGGAGAGAGCTGCACGGGAAATGGAGATTTGAACATCTGATGCTTATGGATGGATGTTGCATTCAGGCGGTAGATGACATCACCCAAAGGCAGATCACAGAGCAAAGGAAGAGAGCCAACACATACTTCACGCAAGCTGCACACACAGGGTCCTTCCCCCCTGCCCTGTCCCTCTGACGCCCGTCTCTTTGCAGGAAAACTTTATAACAATCTCCAACACTTCCTCACCATCCCTGTGTTCCAGGTTTATTCAGTTACACAAACGAATAAATGGAATTTATACATTTGTATAAGGACACATTACAATATAACACAATATACATGGAAATGAAACTTGAATTTCTCCGCTTTTGAGAAAACGTCCTGTGTAAAAAGCCATAAAAATATTTAGTTTAAAGAACTTTGGCGGACACCAACTGCAAACTTATCTTTTCATAAAGGAAAAAAAAAAAAAACAGACCCAGATTGTTTGAGAGGTTCATTTCCAGCACACGCTTGCTGATGAGAGAGCGCGCTCTCGATCAGGTGAAAGGATGGGGCCCGGGGAGGCCCGGCTCCGGCTTGGCCGTGGCTCTGTCCAGTGCCCCCCTCTCCAGCCCCGTTGTCAATGCCCTCCTTGGGCGAGAAACTGAGCAGTCTGCACGAAAGCAGGTGTTCCAGTTTCTTCTCCCCTCACAGCAGGGAGGCTCTTTACACAGAATCTCTTTCGGGAAACATGCCAGAAGCACCTCAGAGCCCCCGTCTTAGCCGGAGGCCCACAGGACGGAGCCCTCCCCGTGCTCATTCCCATGGGAGTCCAGGGGCTCCCGCACAGAATCCAGAACGCACATAGCTCTGGAAATAAATTCAGGTGAAACAGCTGGATTGTTTAACTGTAAAAGCAATCGAATGTCCTTAATAGGTCTCGTTTTTATTTAGCTGCACGTTTTCATTTTCATGCGACCTTAAAAAATTGGTCTTGGGGTTTGAAAACATCGGTTGAGTAAAGGTCACTTGTATAACCCTTCACGATCTTAATCAGCCCCCCTTCTCTCTGCACCCCATACTCTCCCCGTCTCCCTCTCCCCTCCCTGTCTCCTTACTAGACATTCAAACACAGCTGGAAAAATGGGACGATGTTAAGTTTCACGGAGATCGCAGTAGCAAGGGTCATCCAATGGCGGAGAGAAAATCATGCTCATCGAGAGCTGGATCGAAAGAGCTTTTATGGTAAGACATTTTAATATCAGAAAATAGCCATTTGTGCTTCCACTGTCTGCATTTCTCCTCTCATGTACTGAAATAGCTGATGAGTTAAGTCAATACATATACTTGGTGCCGGGTATAACCCCTTATATATCAATGTTAATTATGACTGTGGCTTCTAAAACTAAATTATTTCATCTAAATTGCCCAAATAGAAATCAGCCCAATAAAGATTCTGATGGATTCATAATATCAGTATGTGCTAATAATTTCTGAATGTGTAATTGAGCTGACCAAAACAGGTGCATAAGTGTGTTTATATGTGTGTATTCAATATATTACATGAATGATAGTTAGATTAAATGTTTCTGGTTACACAGGTAACCTATTCTGACTTTCTTAATCATCGCTGTCAGATAATGTACTATGTAAGGGTAACCCATGGAGGCCATGAGAAAAACTGGCTGCCTGAATTTTACCATATTTTTAAAGCTTCTTAAAGGGCAACATATTTTAGTCTCCCGTTGTCCCTCTCACATCTCTACTTATTATGACATTTTATGTTCTATATAAAGATTAAGTCACACCTGAGACCCTTTGTGAGAATCTCTTCTCCCCCCCAAAATAATATTTTTTAATAAAACAAAACTTTCCGTAACAAAAATGGTGTTGCCTATATTTACTTTTTGCCCATAATTGAACTGAATTCAATAATAGCACCTAGCACATCACAGCCACTTAAATTCCAAAGGTGGTCATCAAAATAAAAACACTTAGAAGTTACCTTTTTCATGAAAATTCTGGTGAGAGCTTTGTTCCCATGGCTGTCGATGATCCAAATTAGCTAGGTTTCTTGGCTGGGTTTCTAGCTAAATTTGTTTCTCTCTCTTTTTTTTTTTTCTGTTGCGTGATGATTTATTATTTTCTCCAATAAAGAAATGGGACCAGTCTCTGGTACTTGCTACACAATTTTTTTTAATGTTTATTGTTGAGAGTATTATAAATGTATCCCCCCTTTTATCCCCATTGCCCCCCTCCACCCAGGTCCTACCCTGCCCCAGGCCTTCGCACTCTATCGTCTGTGTTCATGGGCAATGCATGTATGCATATAAGTTCTTTGGTTAATCTTAAATTTGTTTCTCAATGTACATCAGGTTCCTTCATTTGTCTCTATAGGTCCTCAGAACACAGATCTCAGCCTGAACTGAGTGCCGGGAAAAGCGCCCTGAACTCCGAGTCAGCGTCAGAGCTGGAATTAGTGCCCCCAGCACAGGTAACAGCAACGCTTCAAGGAGCCCACCTTTCTAATAGGTCATTCATATCTTAAATATTTTATTTAAATTTTCACAAAAAGTTCTAAGTACATTTTCTATATTTTGTATTACATGTGCTTTCGTACTCAGTATCTGTCTCAATGCTTAAAATATATTTATTTGACCAGAAAATGTATTAATGAAGTCACTGTGTACTTAGCACTTTTTCCTTTTTCTACCACTTACTGTTCCATGATTTTGCGATACAAAATCTGTACTACTCCATTATTAGCGCTATTGATGTAGCAGAACACAAAGGAGAGGAAATTACATCTCGAGTGCTCATTTCCATCTCTGCCCGGTGGGACAAGGTGCTCACACATCAGCACCCTGCCTGCTGCATTCCAATAAAGGTCATGGGAGGAATAAGTAATTAGAGTAGTAGTGGTAATGGCCCTACTGAGAGCTACCATTTGTGGGCTTTACTATGTGCTTTTCATATGTCATATCTAGCACTGAAATAACCCTGCAAATATTTATTAACCTCGCTTCAAAGATCTCTTAAAGGGTCTCGGTGAAGTAAAACCCCTTTTCCTAGGGAACCCGACTAGTGACTGGTGGGAGTAGGGTGGGAACCGAGCCTGTCCACCCCTTGGCTCTCAACTACAGTGTGACTGGCTTGTCTATGACTAATTACTGCCTATGGTTAAGGCTGCCAAGAGCTCCAAAGTCAGTCTCAATCTTTTCATTCCCTCAAGCACCTTACAAGCAAACAGGCTGGGTTCTAAAACCACAGAGATCTCTTAAGAAATGTGTCTACTGACCAGCCGGGGAGCGTACTGAAGGCAACCGATTAATGTTTCTCTCTCATATAGATGTTTCTCTCTCTCTCTCCTTCCCTCTCTCTAAGTACGTCCTCAGGTGAGGATTTTTCTTTTCAAATGATAATATATATTTTATTTGAGGAACATGTAGAAAAACACTCATGGACTCTGCAATTTAGTTGAAAAGAAGATGGGTGGAATGAAGTAAGCCAGAAAATTTTCTTGAGTTTACTAGATAAGCTATTGTAACTAAGAGGAGAAATATATTGCCTGAGGTGAAGTAAAAGGATAATTATGATAATAACAAATGTTATTGATTGCTATGATAAGGCCTTCTAATATATATATATTATCTCATTGGACCCTGACAAATGGCTCTATGAGTTCAGGTATTATACTCCTTTTAAAGATGGGGAAACTAAGGCACTGTGAGATTAAGAAAGCCATCTATGCAACCACAACTAGCAAGTGTCAGAGGGAAGGAGAACAAGGAGAGAAACAAAGTGGAAGGCCCCTGGCACCCTCTCTAGGCCACTAAGAGCCCCCTCCACATACACCTCACCCTCGGCAAGAGAGGGGCAGACATTACTGCCCCCAGAACTCTGCTGGAAAACGAGTCAACTAACATCCAGAACAAATACCCCTGGGAAGCTTAATGAATTGCAAATGTACCATGAAAATGTATTTTCTTCCTCTGTATTCATTCTAAATGTATCTTTTTAAAAGGCAGATTGATAACATTTATCAGAGAAACATCTCTTGATACATGCATTAGAAGTTTAGACTTGACTAAAGTAATTGGTACTTTTTCATGAACTGGAATCCTTGGAACAATCTAATTAGCGCTAGAATGTTTGTTTCAGCAGCAGGGGGAGACCTGGCAAGGTGGGCTGCCCTCCATGGAGCTGGGGGCAGATCAGCTGGGGCCCCGGTTGCCCATGGAGACCCACCATGCACGTATCTTATTATTCCAGTGACTGCTTCTGTCCTGCTGGTTGTCTGGTTTCATCCCACCACACTGTCCCATCACTGACCCACCCGTGTGCCTTTAAGCAAACACTGTGCTTTTCGGATTCTGGATATTGTCTTCAAAACCATGTAAAATGCACCGTGACAGTTCTCCGTCTAGATGAAACATAGCAAATCCTTTTAGAGGGTTACCAATTATTTGTAAAGAATGTATCCCTTCATTTGCTTTTTTAAAAACACTGTGTGTTTACTTATCAAGATTTCCCTAAACTAAGGAAATTTATAATCTTTTAGTTTTAATTCCAATTTATGGTTAAATAAGGAAACTTGCATGAATTTGGAATTTAATCATCTGAATGACTAAGTCATTCAAATGGAGCACCAAGAGGATAGACTGATTAATCTGCTTTTAATGGAAAAGATGTTTTTCCTGTTAGAAGCATACTGCTCTTAAATATATTATCTCTTTACGCAGATAAAATGATGAAGGCAGTAAGAAAACTCAACTTAAAACTGACTTGAAAACTCTCCAGGTGAACAGTCTCAGCTCAGCAAAATCTGTTACTGCTCCACTATTACTCAGATGGTCCACAGGAAAATCAGGGGAATGTTTTCCTCTCTCTCAGGCCAACAAAGATTAGTGTAGGTTCAACAGGTGAGGGGCTATTTGCAAGTCTTGTTTAAAAATCGTGTTTCAGAATCAAAGAAAATGGAAGTTCACCATGAGAAGAATTCTTATGTTGGCTCATTTTCTTATCAAGATGGAGAGAAGGAAAGATATAGTCTAGTCTGTTCCAAATAGTGTTTTGAATTCACTAATCAGAGTGGCAAGGGAGTGTAATAAATTATATAATCTCTATATATTTAAGAATAAAGCTTTTGACACTTAAACTGCGAAATTAGTATTCCCTGGAGTTACATGTTTAAAGAAATCATGCAATCTCAAAAATTAGAAAACATTTGAAGAGTTGAAGAAAAACACAGAAAGCAACGCTGTAAAATTAGCTTTTTCCATAAATGGGTTGAGATAGTGATGAGGCGAAAGAAAAAGAATCCAACTTCCCCTGGAGCGTGTGGCTCAAGCATTTCTTTTTCCAGTCTAGCCCCTGGCAGGAGAGCTCAAGACGGGCTCTTGCCAACCAAAGTTGGATTTCACCAGACTGTGCGGCCGCCAGGCTCTCTGATACTTAGTCACAATCTTGTAACAATCTGATTTTGCTGACTTTGGCACAGCAAACGATTCCTCCCACATAGTTGTAATTCCATCAAGTTGGCAGTGTCCCAAAACAGAACTATATAGACTTTAAGATGTAAGTGCAGGTATGTTGTCTGAATTTTTAAAGGAGTGATGCAAAAGGAAATGCATTTAAAAGCTGTCATATTGCACACTCCCTGTGTGTAATGCAAAATATTTCTAATATATTCTTTGAAATGCTTACAGTAATCTTGGGAATCAATATCCCCATTTCTCAGGTGAGTAATGCATCTCAGAGAGCAGAGTAATTTTCCCAGGGCGACAACACAGCTAAGGAGGAGAAAAGCCAGCGCTCGATCCGCACCCATCAGCTTCTGCAGCCTTTTCCTGACCACACATCTCTTTGGATGGGTCACATGGAGCCTGTCCACCTGAGAGAACCCCCAAGCCATCTATTTCCATTCTCCTTGCAAGCCTGATTATTACGTCTAGAGGGTTAATCGGAGTTAAGTGATTTTTAAAGAACGTTTATCACTCTCTCCCAGAAACTTTGCAAGATAAATTAGGATTGTCATCTAATCTGAAGCTGAACACAATTTTGTGCCTGCCCCTACCAAACTCTTCCCCAAACTCTTACTCTCAGAAATGTGGGTGGCTTCCATTTCATTCCATTTCGGTTCAACAAATGTGGCTGAATGTCTACTGTTCATAAAGCCATAGTGAGGCAGTGAGAATACTAGAAAGAGGAGTTTGACCATAAGAAGTGTCAAGACTTTTGTGTCTAATAGAAGCAGTTAGTGCACTGTAAGTGCAGTTTTGCTTGTTGCAAGACAGCACAAGAGCCGCATCCCCTTTCCCCTCCTGGACATGCGCAGCGAGCCACCAAGGAGGAAGGAAGCCAGCAAAGGTGGAAGGAAGGAAATAGGAAAAGAAAGGCAAGGACTGGCAGGCAAGAAGGAAGGACAGAAACCGAAAGATTATTTTCAACCTAGTAGGAAATCTGCACACAGTAGGTCCTCAACAAGTATTTGTTGAGGTAAAATATAATAATAATAATAATAATAATAATAATAATAATAAAGAGAATACTAACAAAAAGGAGAAACAATAAATGTTTGTCAAATTTAATAATTTGCAAGTAGTGGCTAATGGTTAAAGGATAGAAAAGATAAAAAGATGAAATTTAATCCTTGATCATTTTGAAACTAGTTTCAAAAATACTTTCCAGTCATTCATGGTCATAGACTGTCCATCTCTTTTTGAAATCAACACTGATTTGCCTTGATATTTTACAACATAGAATTTCATATTTGGAGGGAGATGGGGACTATATGCTCCCTCCTTGCACGAAGCTCTGAGAATCTGCTCTTTACACTTAAGGTAGAGCTTTTTTTGTGTTTCTTCAATGATAAATGTCTGCTGACTGATTAAGAAGAAAAAAATTGGAGCATTTCAAGGAAGCAAGTGTCTAACTTATCTGTTCTAGTGTAAGAATCCAATTTGTCTCCATTAACCACTGAACAAAAGTGCTTTAGGCACAGATTTTTTTTTTTTTAATGTCTTTATTGATTTCAGAGAGAGGAAGGGAGAGAGAAAGAGAGAGATAGAAACATCAATAATGAGAGAGTCATTAATTGGCTGCCTCCTGCACACCCCCTATTAGGGATCGAGACTGGAACTCGGGCATGTGCCCTGGCCCGGAATCGAACTGCGATCTCTGGGATCATAGGTTGATGCTCAACCCCTGAGAATACTGGCCCTGCCAGCACAGATATTTTTTAATGTATTTCTAAAGTCACACCAAGTAAATACTAACCAGAAAGATAACAAAAGCCACGTTTTATTGAGCACTTACTATGTACTGAGACTTTTGTGTGTGTATTTACATGAATTACTGTTCTCAATTCTTATGTGGATTCTGTAAGTGAATACACACTTGGCAGATGAGAATAAACTGAGGATTCTAGAGATTAAGTAATTTGTCCAAGGTCCCCAGTTAGTAAATGGATTTGACCCCAGGCAATCTGACTCCAGAGATTATGCTCTTCAAGACCATGTTGTAGCAGACCCTCGGTCTGCTAGTTGTTATGTTTTTCTCTCCCACAGTTAAGCAGACCCCTTTTCTCCTTCCATTTCTTTTGAAAAGATGCTGAGTTTTTTTAAAGTGTGTTTTGGTGGCAGATCTTTGGCAATAACATAAAAGCAATTTATGAGAAGCTATGAATGACCGGCCTTGAGATTCACCAACAGTTATGCCAGGGACAACCACAGCCATAAGCACAGTCATTTTCAAATCATAATTTTGATCACAATCATAATTTTGAGTAAGGAAAATAAAACATAATATTCTTTTTAAGGAGTTATTACTTTCTTTCTCCTTTACCTTCGCCTACTGCTTAGCATTCAGAACCATGAGCAACTAAAGGAACTAAATGCCTTCTTCCTTGGAGAGTGTAAAACCCTAAAATCCAGTTAGCTTAAACCAATTAAAATGCTGTTTTTAGAGCCAAAGCACTTCCAGGAGGTTGCTGTAATTGTGGAGCATTTTTTTCAAAATCATGAAAAGAAGAGAAATGTCCATGTCAGAGTATATTTGTGAACTCCAGGGCTCCACCTACATGTACACAATGTCAGTATCTAGACCAGAAGTTCTCATAGTGTGGTCCTTACTCCAGCCTGCTCAGCATCACCTGGGAACTTGTTAGAAATGCAGATTCTGGGGCTTCATCCCACCTGCTGAATCAGAAACCCCAGCGGTGAGGCCCAGCAATCTGCATTCGAACCAGACTTCCAGGTGATCCTGACGCCCACTAGAGCCCGAGAACTACTAATACAGAGAACTACTGTTCTACCAAAACAGCTGCAACTCAAACTTATGGGTGTAATAGTCTTGTTTACCCTTCCTCTCGGTAAATATTGAGTGCTATCTGCAGTTTACAAGCATTACTTACACGTTTCCCACATCACAGGTTTGCCTATAATCCTCAGTTGCGTGCTAATCTCAGCTTGAAAATTGCCTCTGTTTCCATTCAGTATTTACCTGTATTTTATAATGTTTAGCTCATGCTTCTTTGGGCAAAATATATGGCATCCACTGTGAGGTGGATGGCATGTGTTTAATAATCATCTAAAGCTTTTCTAACCATGTGGAAAACAGCTCTTACCTAAACAGCAATTGTACTAGCAAAACAAAATTTCACTTGCACAGTAAGAGTCTGTTTTGTACTTTCTGTTTTAAGTGGTAAAGAGAATACGAACCATAAGTCTAGAATCCTGAGAGGGATTTTCCTCTTCTCCCTGATCTATGGCGCCCTTTGCATTCTGTGATTTATAATCCACGTGGGTCATGAGACATTGATGAAAGGAAGCTAGTGACAGGAATGGAGGCCTGTTAGGTCAGGCTTCACAGAAATGACAGATCGCGTTTCCCCAGTGAACAGTGCCTTTAACAAAAGGAGGTGGCTCGGGACCAAAATACTGGTGCTTTATTTTTCTTCTCCTGATGCCATTTGTCGCTCACTCGTGACATTATTATGTAGATGCACAAAGTTCGTGTCTTACCATGTATCCACAGTTTAAAACTCACATTTGTTTATTTCATTAATGAAGGAACCAGCAGGAAGACGAGAGTTGGTTCCAAAAGCAAAGGATTAAGGGACGGAGACTTATATAACCAGTTGGGAAAGGAATGCCAAAATAAATTTGCCAAGCTAGATAGAAAGTGCTGGGTGAAGAACAAAGTTTTGCTATAGACAGTGGTTTCCAAACATGACTGCATTTCAAAATCACCAGAGGAGCTTTTTAAACATTTAATGCCCAGGCCTGTTCCAGTAATTCCCAAAGAAGCTGGAGTTGAGCATTCCTGCAAGAGAGCAATCTAACACATGGGCCAAGGAATACGCCCTACCCCCCAAAAAAGGGAGTAGGGGGGACTTCACAACACAAGCCCCAAAACCTAGCTGCCTTATCAGTACAATCCCTCACCCTACAGTCCACCATCCACAGGCATCATGGGGACACGATCGCTTGTCAGGCCCTGGGCTCGGCATGGACAGTACAGAAGTTACCAGGGAAGATCTTACATGCGTGGATCCCACAGTAGAGTCAGAAGTTAGACAAGAAAACAAGCAATTGCATGGAGAAAATTTGGAAACGTTCTGAATGCTCCTGGAGAGAGCTCTGAACAATCTACAGTACATAGTACTTAGTAGAAAACCCCTGGGAAGAGTGGGGTAGATTTACAAGTACTAATTGTGGAGACTCTCCAAGGTGTATTGTTAAGTAGAAAAAAGTAAGCTACAGAATAGTATATCATTTATGTTTCAAAAAACATTTTGAAACACATCATGATATTCTATCTATGGGTGCATAAATATATATGTAAGTGCAAAGAAAAGTATAGAGGTGCATCTCTTATTTTCCATAATTAACTTTTTCAAAAAGAAAGTATTCATTGTCAAATGAAAAAATAATAACATTTTTTAAAACTATATCTTTATTGATTTCAGAGGGAGGAAAGGAGAGGGGGAGAGAGAGAGACAGAAACATCAATGATGAGAGAGAGTCATTGATCAGCTGCCTCCTGCACGCCTCCGACTGGGGATCGAGCCCGCAACCCGGGCCTGTGCCCTGACCGGGAATCGAACTGCGATCTTCTGGATCCCAGGTTGATGCTCAACCACTGAGCCATGCCTGGCTGGGCAAATTAATAACATTTTTTTTAATCCCAGCAGACTCTTTTGGCAGGCGGGGTCTTCTGGAAATATTTGCATTTAGCTAAGCTGTGTATCACACTGCCTGTTAATTGTGACAAAGTAGTTGGCGTTATCAGAGGTAATTTTATCTAAGTGACTAGTATTTAACAGAAAGCAACGTCCTAAGGAAATGGGACATAAGACAGATGTGTGCCAATAGAGGGAAGGCAAAGGCAAGAGAATCCAGCATGAGGGCCTGCTGCGTATTTAAAGAGGAAGACCCAGCTGCCTCCTTTCATCTCTGCAGCTTCCACAGTTTTACCCGAGGCTGGGCCTTCTAACCAGCTGGGAGCTTGAATATCAGCTTCCAGGTCTAGTCTTCCAATGGAGATTCTCCATTCTAGCTGCATGTTAGAATCATGTGGGAGACTTACTGAAATATTAATGCCTGGCACCAAGACCAGTTAAAGAAAAGACCTTTCAGAGGTTGGGCCTGGGGATTGGTTTTAATGTGACCAGGCCTGACACCCTGTTACAAGAATCATGCATGCTTGCAAAGTACTCCAAAAATGACGTCAGTTGCAGGTGCTGCTTAAACTCTAGGGGAATATGGGAAAAGGAAAAACATATGTACTGTTGTGTTATGCGATTCCAATATTATAACCCTGTGTGGTTTATTTCAGGCTCGCCTGACCAAAGAGCAACGCTGGGGAAGTGCATTGCTCTCCAGAAACCACTCCTTAGAAGAGGAATTTGAAAGGGCAAAAGCAGCAGTGGAGGTAACTTTTATAAAATTGTTCTTTGTGTGTGTTTCTGAGAGTGGAATTCAAAAACTCAAATTTCAGTAGGATACACATGAAATGGGTCGTACTTTATAGACATGAAATAACCCAGATTATGATTGTTCGAATGAAACCTGATACCAGAGAACTTTTGGCTTCCTGCCAGGCGTGACTAATAGATGTCACCTCTTAAACCAATTCTGTGGTAGATTATCAGTGACTGGAGTCCTGGGTCAGAAAGAACTCTGAGCCTCATCATGGTCTGTGATGAACCTGTGCTATGCATTTTCTATGTTTCTCTCTGTGAGGCCAAGATTCACGCCTGATGTTTTCATCTCTCTAGCATCTATACAATGTCTGAACCATAGAAGGTATCCCTGCTCCAAAAATACTATACATTTTCCTAACCGAAAAGGCATATCCCAGCCAATGGAGGGCCTGATTCAAGCCATAATTTTTTACTGCTAAAAGTGTCCAAAACAAATGATAAGATTTCATTTTTTTATGGCCAAGTAATATTCCATAGTATATACATACCACATCTTCTTTATCCAGTTGTCTATTGGCAGACACTTAGGTTGCTTTCATATCTTGGCTATTGCAAATAATGCTGCAGTGAACGTAAGGATGCATTTATGTTTTTGAATCTAAAAAACAAAATTAAGGAACAAACAGAAAAAAACTCAAAAGATACAGAGAACAAACTGATGATTGCCAGGCGGGAGGGGGGTTGGAGGGATAGTTAGAAAGGTGAAGGGATTAAGAAATACAAATTGACAGTTACAAAATAGTCACAGGGGTATAAAGTACAGCATTAGGAATATAGTCAATAATATTGTAATAACTATGTATGGTGTCAGGTGGATACTGGACTTATGGGGGATCACCTTGTAAGTTATATCAATGTCTAACCGCTATGTCACATGCTTGAGACTAATATCATATTGAATGTCAACTGTAATTGAAAAGTTAAAAAATAAAAGGGTACCCCAAACAATGACAATGTTGATAAACTAAATCAAATGATAATTTGAACATTAATTTTCTTATTTAGCCTTCTAATGAGAGAGAAAGAAAGAGGAGGAGGGAGAGGAAGGAAGAAAGGAAGGAGGAAAGGAAGCCATAAAAGGTCAATCTTTGCTGGTTTTTATCCATTTTCTTCCTGGTTAGAATCACAGAGTGCACCACAGATGCCATCTGTTATACTCATCTGAGCTTTGCTAGATCACTGTTTGAGAGTGGAGCTTTCTGCCAAGCCCAAGTAGGAACTTGTCAGGATCTCCACTTCTGTTACTGATATGAAATCTTGAAAATTTGAAAGTATTCCTATAATATGGCTCATTTATGTAGCTGTCTTGCCACTAGAATTTGGATGAAATTATTATACTATGAGCAGTCTTTCGGTAACTCCATACTTGAAGTGCAATTAAATCACATTTCCAATTTAATAGTAAAAGGATTCTTTATATTCTAGAAAATAATTCCAGCCATAATTTCATATCATCATTCAGAAACCCAATAAGAGAACACTTTTTATCTCATCACAAAACAATCTACCCAAATTTCTTTTTTTATTTTTAACCTTTTTATTTAAAAAAAATTAATACAAATTTAGAGCTCTTGAATGTGATCAACTGATATATTTGATTGAGACCAGCAGAGACCACATGGTCCCACTGCATGGAGTCTGTAACTCAATTCATCTTAAATGCAGATATTTTTTCAGACTTAAGAACTAATTTAAATTTATTTTTTGAACTCCTACTGTGTGTAGTGCACTGAATTAGCACTAAAGAGAAGATTATGTAAAACCATAGAATATTGAGTCAGTAAAGACAGAATTTATATGATCCCATTTAGAATAAGAAAGACAATGGTTCATACTCAAATGGCTTAATTTCAAATTAATATATCAACGACAAAAATTACCCATCTATCTACCTATCTATGTGTGTATTATATAGCTATAGATATATATTGATATAGAGATATATACTCACGAAATCATTTCAGTAAATATCTATTGAATTAATAGATGGATAACTGATTGTTAATCACCTAATGTGGGCAAGTCTGTCTATCTATCATTACATATAAAGTGTCTTTTCACCTCTTAATCTAATGTAGTTCCTGCATTTTCATAGCTAATACAAACCAACGATTCTGTCGGTGGCATGCAGACTTGTGCCAGGGACTGTGCTAAGCGTCACTGTCTGTGGTTGTCTTCCTCTCAGGGTCAGTCAGTGAGACACAAGAATGCAGGCCACACCAACCAGTCTTGCTGGGGGGTAACACTGGGCATGTCTTGTATTTTACATGGTACAAACTAGTTTTTACTTATACTAAGTAACACCTGACAACATGTCATTCAACTAACGTTTGAGCTAAAATGTCCTGAAATACAACATCTCCTGCTAGAGAAAAGACAGCTAACCCCGCATGCATTATTTAGTGCATGTCTTCAGTGACCCGGGAACTGTTTATGTGCAAAGGCTGACATTGCTTGGGCTCAAGCTGAACTGTTAGATCTAGCAAGGCAGGTATGGGGGAGGCGTTTTGCCTCCTTAGCTTCCATTTTATTGAAAAATCACTGCAAATTTATCTCTGTTCAAAATATTGTAATTTTAGGACAAAGAACCAAAAATTCCTATTTGGGGCTTTTTTTAAAAAATGTATGTTCCCTGAACAAGAATGGAGAGGAGCTTCCTCCGGGTTTCCTCGCCAGCCAGCAGCCTGAACGCACTGTCCGCCGCAGCGGGTCCCTGTCCCTAGGCAGGACGCACCGGGAGCTCGGTGGCGCCTGCAGCTGCCCAGGAAGGCGGGTCCCTGGAGAGACTGTGCTGCATCTGCGGAGGAGGGACGAGGTCCCGGGCAGGCGGCAAGAAATACCTCCGCTATCACCCGTTCCAGGGCGGGAAGAGCCTCTGCGTCTAGTATTGTGTTTAGCTAGTCGGTCACGTTAGGGGCCTCCACCTTCAAATTCGTCAGGCATGTTTAGGCTTCTTCTCCGGGCCAGGCACTGTGCAGGGTGCTAAAAAGAGAAAAGTGGGTGAGACCAGCTCTGCCCTTAAAGAGCTAGAAGAATCACAGGTGTAAGCAGCTCAGATCACTCAAGTATAGCTTATCACGTAGCATAGTTACTATGGGTTTACCTCCCCACTAGACTGACCATCTCCCCACTAGACTGACCTCTTACAGGCAGGACTGTGTCCCAGCCTNCCCCACTAGACTGACCATCTCCCCACTAGACTGACCTCTTACAGGCAGGACTGTGTCCCAGCCTTCATTATGTGCTCAGCCTGTTCAGAGTCGGGTGCAGAGCAAGGCCCCACAAAGTTTTGTTGGATAAATAAATGAGCAAAAATAACAANTTCATTATGTGCTCAGCCTCTTCAGAGTCGGGTGCAGAGCAAGGCCCCACAAAGTTTTGTTGGATAAATAAATGAGCAAAAATAACAATGGATCCCTCTAATGCAGCTATTTCATCTAAGCAACTCTTCTCTGATGGGTGCTTTATAAACATCACAAGCATACTGACTAACAGAAGATGAATTTTCGGTCCTGACCTCAAAGTCACGTTTCACTTGGCTCCGATATTAGTATAATGAATGTATGCATTTTAATCAGTGTTTTCATAACTCTCCCTTTACCCCGAGGGAGGTATTCTTGTGAGCAAATTTTGGAAAAGAATAATGAAATATGTGCATGGAGAGAAATGAAGATACATGGACAAAGGAAGTGCAATGGTCAGAGGCAAGAAAAAGAACAGGAAGCAGACTTTTAAATCCTTCTGGCTAATTAATTGAGCCTATTAAATTCTAGTGCTCTGAACTCTTCCCATACCCAGGTCTCTTCCCTTTGAACTTCATTTGGGATATTGCTTGTGATTTTTTTTAAATGGCCACAAATGTTTTGATACTTCCTTCAAAGTACAGAGCTTAGCTCTCCTCCCCTTGAGCGTGGGCTGGGCTTAGTGACTCACTTCTAGCAAATGGAATAAAGTGGCAGCCATGGTATGTGACTTTACACATTAGGTCATAGAAGGTACTGTGGCCTCCTCCTTGCTCGCTCTCTCTTGAGCCACTTGCTCTGGAGGAAACCCAGCTTCCATGTCACGAGGACCCTTAGCAGGTAGGGAACCAAGGCATCCTACCCATAGCCAGCAGGTGGGGAACCAAGGCATCCTACCCATAGCCAGCAAGGACCTGAGGCCTCCTGTCAATAGCACTTTGTGAAAAATCATAGGCAAATTGGTAATTACTGTTTAAGAAAATGGATAGTGAGATTTTAATGCTACTAATTTGTTGTTCTAGAAATATGGGTGACCTTTCCTATGTTAAGTTTAACTAGGGGATACCATATTCAAAGTAACACAATAGCTAAACCCAGCTCTAGTGACATAAACTTAAAAATTATTTTCATAGAGAAATTTTGTTTCACCTGATGTTAATCTCTATATATACCATAGATCTGATGGGCACCTCAGAAATATTAATTGATTGAAAAAAGTTGGAGGCCATTCTGGGAACTGCTTTTAATATAAGATTATGTAAGAAGCTACTGACTTGGGTGCCCTCCTACCAAGAAGATTGTCTCCACCACCCCCTCATATTTCCTTCTGCTTTCTAGGACCATGTCACCTTTTTGAAGTAGGTGGAAGAGATTAATGGATCAAACACTACTTAAATCATTCTTATTTAGATTCAACACCCAAAAAAGAGAAAATCTTCTGAAAATATATGAAAATATTATTTGGGCAATATTGAAGGAATCTTATCATTAACTGTTTAAGATACAGATTTCTCTAGATAGAGTACGTGAAGATTTGATGTGCTGTGCATTCAAGAACTGGCAAAAGATCCTTTGATCTTATATTGATTTGATTTTTTCTTTTTTTAAAAAAATATATCTTTATTGACTTCAGAGAGAGGAAGGGAGAAGGAGAGAGAGGTAGAAACATCAATGATGAGAGTCATTGATCGGCTGCCTCCTGCAGA